CTTGAAACGCGTTCATCCTTCCTTAATTTACCACCCAGCTTGGCAAAGGGCTTTTAATTAAAATACCCAAATTTGGCGTTTTAGCCCTGCGTTAGAAACCCCCTTTTCCCCGGCATTTGGGCTCAGAGCCCTGGTCCTTTCCTGCTCCTATTGCAAGCAGCACCGCAGCCTCTTCCCGCTCCCGGCACTCCGGAGCCTGCAGCGCCAGCCGCAACCGGAGCAAAAGGCCAGGCACCATCCCTTGTGAGGGCCACGCGAGCAGGAATTCCTGCTAGATCCTGCAGGAAAGACGTGGAGGAGAAGTCGCTGCGGTGCGGAGGGGAGATGCCCTTTGCCGCAGGATTTCAGTGGGAATTTTGGATGTCCCGGGTGCACGTGCGCACCCCTCGGCCTGGTGCTTTCCAGCCCTTGGATGCAGCCGGTAGCTCCTTTCCCATTCCCGTTAAAGCTGGTTTGTGTTGCGGCGGAGCAGGAGGCGGGAATTCGGAGGCACCAGCACTGCAGCCTCTGGCATCGTTGGAAGCTGCACATGTAAATATTCCCAAATTCCTGCCTTGCCTTCAGGATGGAATTGCAGCTTGAGAGGCTTCTCTTCTGCTCTGTTAAAGCAGTGGCTTTAAAAAACCCTCACCTAAGTGGAAAAAAAATGATGGAGAGTGGGGCTGAAGTCATGAAATAGGGGTCTTTGCCTGTCAAAAACACATTGCACAAGGTCTCCAGAGACCTTTTATTCAGAAAACTAGTCAGTAAAACAGATATCAGAGTTACCCCTTCAAATGCGCTTGTACTTTTGTGGTTTGCAAGGACTTTTCTTCATCCGTTGTGCTGGAAGCTGAATCCTGCAAAGCCCTGGCCGAGGGTCGAGCCCTGCCTGCTAATCCTGCCCGTGGCTTTTCCCAAAGCAGCTTAGCAGGCGAGACGCCTTTGGATGCCCCTCTGCAAAGGAAACCTGCCCCACTTCATCCTTCCCTGCTCGCGAGTCGGAATTAGAGCTGCCGGCAGAGCCCGCGTGTCCCTGCGGTGCCCCGGGGACCTTCCTGCCGGGTCCCAGCAGGAAGGGTCCTGCCAGGTCCTCCGGGATGGCACCCGGAGATGGCCCCGCTCCTGGCAGCTCCTTGGCTGCATCCCGGCTCCTAGCAGTCCCAGGCTTCTGCCCGTTCTCATCCCGTGTGTTCCTAATCCCAGGAAAGGGGTCAAGTGAGGGATATTCCGGATAAGGACACTGCGGGTGTCTGTGGATGAAGGGGCTGAAGGAAATCCTGGAAACGATGAGGTTTGTGTGGGATGCAGGGGTGCAGCAGCATCGTCACCTTCTCCGTGTGTCCGAACAACACCCGTCCCCAGGCCGTGCTGTGACCCCTCGCACATCCTCCTGCCACCTCAGCTTTTGTCTCGCGCTGCTATTTCCCAAGTATCCTTTGTCATTTCCCCTTTTCACTTCCCGCTAATTGGAGGTGGTCACACTGTGCAAATCCTCTGATTTTCTTCCTGCCTGTGAGCTTCCCGCCAGGAAGACGCGGATGAGCCGTTCCGACCGCTGCTGCTGGGCGCTCCCGCAGGGTTTGCCGAGCGGGATGCTCCCCCTCCGCATGGTGCCAAGCGTTGCTCTTCCCTCTTCCCTTGCCTTTCCATTCCCTTGCCTTCCCTTCCCTTCCCTTGCCTTTCCATTCGCCCGGCTCTGTGCACATCCCACTGCCCGTGCCTGAAGTCCTTGCAGAGCCCCAGTGTGTCCGTGCCCTTCTCCTGCGGGACGGTCTGGAGGGATTTCCTGTATTTCGGTGTCCTCCTCGCCTCAGGCCGGTGACACTTTAGGGCCTCGGGAGCTCTTCTCTCATTCCCGTGGAAAGCGATTCCCGACGCACACGTGACCTCATCCCTGGGTGCTTCCCGGATTCTTCGCTTCTTCATAAATCCCCATGAATGATTCACTGAGCCCGTTAACGGCTTTCCTGGGACACTCGGATACAGTGCCCAGCTTCGGGGACAGGGATATCCTCCAGCTCCAGGTGCTGAGCCCCTCGCCCCCCTGCTCGCTCTGGAGACACCGCCAAGTTCTTCATTACTTCCTAATTAGCCATACATCCTTTCTTATTAAAGAATAATTTCTTAAAGGCTCTCATTACCTCAGCTCGTCCAGGGTTATTGATTTATTCTTCCTTCTTTTATTAATGGGTCCTGTAATCCCTCCTGTTCATTGCTCGGCCTCTCCCTTAGCGACTCTCCCCCTCCCCAGGGCTCTTCCCGCTCCTTCCTTCCTCGCTCCTTCCTTCCTCGCTCCTTCCTTCCTCACTCCTTCCTTTCTCGCTCCTTCCTTCCTCGCTCCTTCCTTGCTCCCCGCAGCCTTCGGCTCCCTGGTGCTTTGGCCATGGGTGCTTTCCTCGTGGTTTATTTCACTTGGAACAGGCACTCAAGAGGGCGAGGGAGGGCAATTCCCAAAGGATGTGTTCCTGGAGGGCTGGGAGCTGAAATCCTCAGGAGTTTTGTGCCTATTTGAGTCCCCACCTGAATCTCCTTTCTCTTCCTTCAAGGCTTGGCCGCGTTGGGCCGGCATCTGTGGTTCTGCTTGGAGCCCATCCGCCCGGCTGCGCTTCCACCTTGTGCCCTGCCCGTCTCCCGCTTCCCAACTGTGCTCCGGGCCCGGCACCATCGGGGAGACCCGAGCAGCGGAGCATTCCCAAAGGAGGAGCCTCTTGGAGCGGGGGTAGAAGGGATTTGCTTTGCACGAGGTGTTCTGGAATTGGGGCTGGGTTGGAAACGTGGATGCAGCTTTAGGGCCTCGGGCTGCTTTGCCCGGCCAGGAGCTGCAGGAGGATGAAGGGGTTTCTCCCTGGGCTTCCTCCGCCTGTCGCGAGCGGCTGTTGCGCGAGCGGCGCCTTCTCCGTGCGCCGGTATCCATGGTGATGGGAGGGATTTCGAAGCGGTGCTTCCAAGCCAGCTCTCCCGCTTCTCCACGCGCCTCCGCTCCTCAGTCCGGAGCCGAATCCCGGATCAACAAGGAACAGGAACGAGCTTGAGCCTGGGCCATCCCCGGGCAGCCCCAAATCCCGTTTGAGCAAGAGAAAGCGGCCTCCTGCCAAGGGAGAGGGATGCAGCTCCCATCTGCGCTCCCCTGAGCGATATCCTTGAGCTCCTGCTGTTCATTCCATGAAATGCTCCCTTTGGCCTGCAGCCAAGGAGGCCGGGGGCTGTGGATCACGGATAGCGCCGGCTGCTTCGCGGTCACGCGCGGCGGTGACGCCGGGTTGCTGCCGCTGCGGACACACTGATCCATGCGGGGACGTTCCGTGACCGCGGCGGCTTCGGGAGCCACGAGAAGGAGGAAAGCGAAAAAACAAAGCAAAGTCAAGGTGCTGGCTGGCTGCCCTGCCGGGTTGGGACCATCCCAGGCTGCAGCACAGATGGTTATTGAGGCCATAAGGGGAGGAAAAACAAAGAATAGGCGATAAAAGGGTGGCCTCGTAGGGCTTTCCACCTGCTTCCCCAGATATTCTGGGCTTTGGGCTAGGACTGGTAAAAGTCATTGTTTATGCAGCTAATCGGGTTTATATTTAACTCCAAACACTATAATGGGATTTAAAGATTTAGTGCAATAATGGGGTGGCAGAACTAGAGTGTGAGCAGCCGAGGAGGCAGTAACTGCACTGTGGCAAACGGGGTGTTTTCAGGGCAAACGGGGGGTTGTTTTAGGGTCTGCGCCAGGTCAGGGGCTGCCGCATGCGGTGTCCGTGCGGGGTTGGGATGTGTCCTCCAGCCATCCCTGGCTCTCCATGCACTCAGAAGTGGTTTGAAGCTCCCTGGCCCTCCCCGGAGCCCTTCCCCTCTCCGTGTCCTGCTAAGTCAGGGTATTTCACAGAGCCCCGTCGAGCCGGCTCGAGCCCCCGGCGCTCCCTGGACCCGAAGCAGGAGGAGGATCAAGCAGAGCATCCGCGCACGAGGAGCCCTGTCACCACGGCTCCCATGGGACAGAGCTGCTCTTCCCTCTGCCGAAGGCTCTGCAGTGAATTTGTTGCTTTTCACAACAACAACAAGGCTATTTCAGGGGCCGCCTGGATGCAGAGGATGGTGCTTGATGAGCCTCTTCCTCCGACCTGCAGGGCGTTGCGCAGGGAGCTGAGCTCAGTGCTTTCTGACGCTGATTATAGATCAGCTGCCCTGATTACCTTGCGCTGATGAACGTTATTGCTCTTAATATTGGCCCTGTGCCGCCTGGCTCCTTCCCGCACAGCCGGCAGCGGGCGGATAACTCATGGCAATGAGTCCTCTCCATCCCCGATATCCTCCAGGGCTCCCTGTGTGCCAAAGGAGGCCGGCAGGGAAGCAGCACCCAGCGGGCAGCGGGAAGCGCCGCTCCTGCAGCTCCAGCACCGACATTCCAGGGATGAGCACGGTAGTTTGGGGCTCCCCGACCACGAGCAAGCAACAAAGTCACCCCCGAATCCCACCGCCGTGGCCAACGCTGCGGAGCGGGAGGGCAGGGAAGGGAGCGTGTGGACCGGTGCCAGTGCTGGTACCGGTGCTGCTCGTGGCTGGGGACAGCGGGTTTGCAGCAGGTGAGTGTTTTGGGGAAGAGGTTTCTGTGTTTGCGCCAGCAGCAGCTCCCACATGGAGCTCCCGTGATCTGCCCATGGGAAGCCCCGAATTCCGAGTCGTGCCCGGAATGGGAAGCCAATTAGCAGCAGTCTAGCTTCATCAGCTTGACGATTTAATGGAAGTTTTAATTAAACACCCCCGTTTTAATTAGCCAGGCGCCACATGCAGTGAACTTCAGACTGTGGGGCCAGTGCTTTAATTAAAGGCAGGGGTGCAGGACTCCGGCTCTGCATCCTTGCAGGGCAGCGCGAGGAGGGATCTCGGGGTGAGTTTCCGTGCCGGATGCCCACGGCGGCGCTGCAGCCACAGGGACAAGTGGCACTTGCAGAGGAGGTGGCACTTGCAGTGGTGCCCGGGATGCAGCCATGTCCCTGCTCCTCCCTCACAACCGTCTCTTTCTCCCCCTGCAGAGCCAGCTCTCCCAGGCCCTCAACGGCCTGTCAGACAGAGCCAAGGAGGCCAAGGAGTTCCTGGTCCAGCTCCGCAACATGGTGCAGCAAATCCAGGTATGGCGTTGCCTGCAATTCCCAGCTGCATCGGCCGGGGCTCTCCCAAGGGGAACCCCCTGCCCCTGCGCATTCCCCCTGCTGCAGCCCTCCCTGAAACTGCTGCTTCCTCAGCCATCCATGGAGCAGGTGGCTGCGACCAGCAAAGGAGAGGATGGGGGACGTCCTGGTGGCCCCAAGGAGCCCAAAACACCCATGGATTCAAAAGGGACAGGCTCCAGGCCCAGGAGGGAAATTAATGAATGAGGATGGTGCCTCCTCTGCCGGGGACCGGGAGGAAGAGGGGCTGTCAGCAGGGAGGAGCTGCCCATCCTCACCCCATTCCCTACAGGCGTCCCTTGGGGGCTGGCGTTTGGCCCTGCTGGGCTGGGGACGTCTTTGGTCCTTCCCCAGGTGAGAGGGTCCCCACTGCTCCAAGACCCCTTGCGTGAGCAGGAGGGATGTCCCCTCCAACATCCCCTGGGACGGAGGCGGCGCGAGCTGGGCAATCCCCAGGCTGATCCCAGCCACTGAGGAAACGACGCGGA